CGAACACACACTGACACACGAACACACACTGACACACACACTGACACACGAACACATACAGACACACGAACACACACGAACACACACTGACACACGAACACACACTGACACACGAACACACACTGACACACGAACACACACTGACACACGAACACATACAGACACACGAACACACACGAACACACACTGACACACGAACACACACTGACACACGAACACACACTGACACACGAACACACACTGACACACGAAGAGCTGAAAAAGTTCAAATCTCACTGGATGATTCTCGTCATGTAAAACAATTTATCATTTTGATCATTTACCTTTAATTTATTAAGCTTATTCTCAAATCATTTAGTAAGATTAATCCTGTTTGAATGTTAAAAATCAGGTTTTTATTAAAAACCTGATTTTTAACATTTCATTTTACTGTAAATGTTAAAATAATACTGTAAAATAATCATACTGTAAATGTGAAAATAATAAATCAGCTGTAAGAAATGAAAAGTTCATCAGCCTCTTTTTTTGTCAATTTATTAATACATCATAGACATAGTTTCATATTTATAATATACAGATTGATAACCAGGTATTTCACATTTGCATCATCATTACCAACGTTCTGCTTTCGTTTTCTGCAAACCTTAAGTTGTGGGACTAAAGTTATTTACATTAAAAGGGATAAAAGTGTTAAAGAAAAACAGTCATGAGCAGACAGACGAAAGAAAACTGGAGGGATGTCCTCTAATATTTACACCAAGAAGGGCGTCAGGAGGCTGAGTGGAAGAGTTTAACTTTGTTTTCCACATTTTAGAGTTTCTGATGGGCTCAAGTTCATTAAATAAAAACTGCTTAATGTTTTATTTAATAAATCAACACAGAGCAAGTCCTTAAACTAAAGGTGTTCATGTTTCAAATCTTTAAAAAAAAAGCTTTTTCCCACCGTTTTTTCTCCCCAACACATAAAAAAAAGATTTGTGGAAATAAAGTTGAGATTTACTCCAGTTTGTCATAAAGATGAGCAGATAATCCAAACTGACGGTTCGTTAAGACGTCTGTTAGAAGGAGGAGGAGTGGAGAAAAAGGCGTTAAAGAATGGAAACGTACAAAAAGTCTGACATCATCATGACTGCATCGGAGGGAAATGAGAAGCGTTCTGTGAGGATGAGGATGGTGGTGGAGGGGGGGGGAGGTGTCTTCAAAAGGACCATCTCTCCTGTGTGCGGGGGTCCGTGGACAGCGAGGGGGACTCTGACGGGGTCTGGCTGCTGCTGTCTTCTCCGTTCAAACTCATCCGACACACGGGACACGTGTCGTGCTGCGACGCCACAGAACAAAGAGCAGACATCAGCTTCCTGTAGCTTTCACCGCTTTTATGTTTTTATTTTAACGCCAAATTAATAAACAACACAAGTTAGTGGAAGCTAACGCTAACCGCTAAGACGAATGTCAGTCTGTGTCACAAGTCTCCTTCGGCTGAAGACCGGTGGCAAATCAGCCAATCCAAACCAGGGTTATAGCTCTGTCTAACTTGTAATGCTCCTTTCAGAATAAAATCATTTCTTTGACTTTGTATGTTTGCATTTATCCTTAGTCACACAACAAATAGCAAATCTTTTTTACCATATTTTAGTCATTTTCTTATTTAAATATTGTTAAAATTTTGTTCTTTTTTGATGCTTTTAATTTGAAAATTAGCTACTAAAGATGCTACACATACACTGACACGACCAGCACNAACCATCAGTGGAGGTTTTTCAAATTAAAACCATCAGTGGAGGATTTTCAAAATAAAACCATCAGTGGAGGATTTTCAAATTAAAACTATTAGTTGAGGTTTTTCAAAATAAACTATTAGTGGAGGTTTTTCAAAATAAACTCAGAGTAGATACACTCGATGTTATTTACAAGGTTTGATAAATAAATAAACTGTTTTTGTTTCAGGTCTTCAGATGTGATCCAGTTTGAAGTCTGGGATCCAGCTCTTGGTTACATCCCCTGCACCGCTCCGGCTCGGTCGCTGCTCACACTGGCTTGGAACACACTGAACACACACTGACACACGAACACATACTGACACACGAACACACACTGACACACGAACACACACTGACACACG